TATATGAGTATTAATTAGTTTTATCACTTTGAAAAATAACCACCATGTATTTTGTATCTTTTTATATATGTTACCTTCCAAGATCTTGCTTCTAAGAGGTGGGAATTCTGAACAGAGCTTTAGCTTTTCTCTTAGCTGGCATCCTCTTAGTTGATTAATTAATTATCAAAGGAAAAAGTTGCAACTAAACTAACTTAAAGGTACAAAGAGTCTAAAGCCAAGCTCCATTCTCCTGGGACATCCATCATACGTATCCAGTAGAAAGGGTGGTTTGTGGAAACTTACTTTGGAGATTGAGTAGGACCCTCAGTGTTGAAAATTTTTATTCAGATAGATTTGCTAGGAATCCTTATCTGTTAGAGAAGTTTATATTTTTGTCGATATCTGTCTTTTTACTTGTTTGTTAAAATAGATACTGATATAATTTCAAAATTATTTGATAAATCTTACCTTTTAAATTATTTAAATAGGGTTACACAACCTGGGAAGGAGCTCTGGTAGCGTAGTGGTTACGAATCGGGCTGCGAACCGCAAGGTCAGCAGTTCGAAACTACCAGCTGTTCCGCGGGAGAAAGATGAGGCTTTCTGCTCCCGTAAAGATTTATAGCCTCGGAAACCCTGTACAGGGTCGCTATGAGTCGGAACCGACTCGACGGCACTTAACAACAACAACACAACCTGGGATAACATAATTTTCACTTTTCATATCACAGAAAGTTATAGTTAGATGTTTTATTTTTGAAGTGAACTTTTTCATTAAATAGACGCTATGTTTAAAGGAAGGAGCTGTGGTAGCATAGTGGATCATGAACTAAGCCACTAACCAAAAGGTTAACAGTTCGAATCTACCAGCTGCTCTGTGGGAGAAAGATAAGATTTTCTGCTTTCATAAATATTTACAGCCTTGGAAATCCTACATGGGGTCACTTTGAGTCAAAACAGACTCCATGGCATACAACCACTACCACTATGGTTAAAGGAGACCATAAAACAAAATGAAACCTGTTGAGTCGATTTTGACTCACAGTGACCATATAAAACACAACAAACCTGCGCCACCAGGTTTTCAAAGCTGTCAATCTTTATGTAAGTGGATTGTCACACCTTTTTGCTCTTTTGGTGCTGTTCAGTTGGTTCCAATTCATAGTGACCCTGTGCACAACAGAGCAAAACACTACCTGGTCCTACTCCATCCTCATAACTACTGTTACACCTGAGCCCATTGCTGCTGCCACTGTGCCAAGCCATCTCATTGGGGTCTTCCTCTTTTTTGCTAACTCTCCACTTTACTAAGCATGATGTCCTTCTCCAGGGACATGTGCCTCCTGATAATATGTCTGAAATGTGAGAGACAAAGTCTTGTCATTCTCACATCTAGGGAGCTTTCTGGCTGTTCTTCTTCCAATGCAAATCTGTTTGTTCTTTTGGCAGTCCATGGTGCTGTTCATATTCTCCTCCAACACCGTAACTCACAGGCTTCAGTTCTTCTACAGTCTTCCTTATTCATTGTCCAAGTTTCACTTGCATAGAAGGATACTGAAAATACAATGGGATGGGTTAAGTGTACCTTAGTCCTCAATCTGACATTTTGCTCTTCAACGTTTTAAAGAGGTCATGTATAGCAGATTGGCCTAATGCAATATGTCATTTGACTTCTTGAGTGCTGCTTCCATGAGTCTTGATAGTGGATTCAAGCCAGGTGAAGTCTTTGACAACTTCAGTCTTCTATCTAGTTGTTATGATCCTATTTATTGATCCAGTGTTGGTGAGGTTTTTTGTTTTCTTTACATTAAGGTCCAACCAATACACTGAGATGCAACCCAGAAAATATTTAAGTCCTCTTTCCTTTCAACAAGCAAGGAGTTCAGCGATCCTTCCTCCAATCCTGATGCCACATTCTTCTCCATATAAACCAGATTCTTGAATTATTTGTGCAGCACACAGATTGAATAAGTATGGTGAAATAATACAACCCTGGCACACACCTTTCCTGATTTTATGTCATTCAGTGTCTTCTTGTTCTATTGGCATAACTAAGTGCTTCTTGATCTTGGTAGAGGTTCCTCCTGAGCACAGTGGAGTGTTCTGGAATTTTCATTCTTCTCAGTGTTAGGCATACTTTGTCATGGCCCACACAGTAGAAAGCCTTTGCATAGTCTATAAAGCACAGGTAAACATCTTTCTGGAATTCTCTGCTTTCAGCCAGTATCCATCTGACATCAGTAATAATATCCCTCATTCCATGTCCTCATCTGAAACGCCTGAATCTCTGGCAGTTTCCTGTCAATATACTGTTGCAGCTGTTTTTGAATTACCTTTAAAATTTTTTGTCTGCATGTGATATTAATGCTATTGTCCAATGATTTCCCCATGCCACTGAGTCCGTGTTCTTTTGAATGGGCACAAATATTGATTTCTTCCAAGCAGTTGACAAAGTAACCTGTCTTCCAGATTTCTTGGCATAGGTGAGTGCTTTCAGTGCTGCATCAGTTTATTGAAAAATTCTATTTGTATTTGATAAATTCCTGGAGTCTTGTTCTTTGTCAGTGTCTTCAGAGTACCTTGAACTTATCATTAGTTCCTGATCATATGCTATCACTTTTAGGTCTTAAGCAATTCTTTTAGGTACAGTGACTCTGTGTATTTCTCCCATCTTCTTTTGATGCTTTCTGCATCATTCAATATTTTCCCATAGAATACTTCGACATTTCAAGTTGAGGGTTGAATTTTTACTTCATTCAGTTTGAGAAATGCTGAGGGTGTTCTTACCTTTTGAGTTTCTAACTCCATGTCTTTGCATATTTCATTACAGTACCTGATGTTATCTTCTCAAGCTGCCCTTGAAATTTTCTGTTCAGTTCTTTAGTTTCCTCATTTCTTAACTTTGCTTTAACATCTCTACATTGGAGAGCAAGTTTCAGTCTCTTCAGACATCCATTTTTGTCTTTTCCTTTGTTCTTGTCTTTTTAATGACGTTTTGCTTTCTTCCTGTATGATGTTCCTGGTATCATCCCACAGATCTTTTGGTCTTCAGTCATTAGTGTCTAATGCATGAAATCTGTTCGTCAGATAATCTCTAAATTCAGGTGAGATATGTTTAACATCATATTTGGCTTTTCTGGATTTGTTTTAATTGTTTTGCTCAGCTTCAGCCTAAACTTGCATATGAGCAATTGATGGTTTGTTCTACAGTCTTGCCTAGCCTGGTTTTGGTTAATGAGATGGAGCTTTTATACCATCTCTTCCCACAGATGTAGTCAGTTTGGTTTCTGTGTATTCTATCTGGTGAGATCCATGTCTATAGTTTTCTTTTATGTTGCTGAAAAACAGTATTCAATGAAGAAGGCATTGGTCTTTGATCTCCAGCATCGTTTCTAACACCAAGGACATATTTTCCAACTACTGATCCTTGCTATTTATTTCCAACCTTTGCATTCCAATCACCAGTAGTTATTTAAACATCTTGATTGCATGTTTGATCAATTTCAGACTGAAGAAATTATTAGTAGAATTCTTCAATGTCATCATTACTGGCTTTAGTGGTTAGTGCATACATTTGAATAATAGTGGTATTAACTGGTTATCCTTGTAGGCATATGGATATTATCCAATCACAGACAACATTATATTTCAAAGTAGATCTTGAAGTGTTCTTTCTGATGATGAATGTGACACGGTTCCTCTTCAATTTGTGATTCCCAATGCTGTAAAACAACCATATAATTGTCAGATTCAAAATGACCAGTACCAGTTCATTCTGGCTTACTAATGCCTAGGATATTGATTTTTGTGCATCGCATTTCATCTTTGACAACTTTTAGTTTTCCTATAGTCATACTTTGCAAATTCCACATTCCAATTATTTATGGATATTTATAACTGTTTCTCTTAATTTTGAGTTATACCCCATCAGCTAAGGAATTTCCCTTAAAGCTGTACTACTCTATTCGGGTCAGCACAGCCAACTCTGCTTTGAGGAGATAGCTCTTCCCCAGTCATATTTTTAAGTGCCTTCCAGCCTTTCTTTCCACAGCAAGAAGGGCACCTTTTCAGGCACTATGTCTGACAGTCCTCTGGTATTCTTCATAATGTTTCAGTGTTCAGTATTCTGGGGCTGTCTGCCCGTGTTCCACTGCTTTTCATAAAGGTTTTCAGTGGCTAAACATTCAGATGTAGTCCACCTGTCTTCCTCCCTTGGCTTAGTCTGGAAGCTCAGCTGAAATCTATTTACAATGGATGGCCTTGCTGGTATTTCGAATACTAGTTCCTATTTTCCAACATCACAGCAACATGCAAGCCACCACAGTATGGCATACTGACAGATGATTGGTGAATTGAAGTGGCTAGTGTCCGCAGCTGAATGCTTAACCACTGAGATGCCAGGGCTTCTTTTAGAGGACATAAGGATAAACACTGGACTGTGAAATACAATGTCCGTGGTTTGAGTCTACTAACTGCTCTGCAGGGGAAAGATACGGCTTTCTGCTCCCTCAAAGATTTACAGCTTCAGAAACCCTAGGGTCGCTATGAGTCGGATCAGCAGTACTTAAAAACAATACCAAATAAAGGAGTCCTGTTGTATTGCTGTAGGATGAGCACTGGAATTCAAGGTCGGTGGTTCAAACCCACCAGCCACACCTCAGAAACACTATGCTGAAGCACAGAGAGTCAGAACCAAGTCGACCACATGTAACAACAGGAATTCTTAAATTAAAGGACCTATTAGGTTTGATAACTAGGTAACTAACTGTTCATGTTTGTCTTTGACTATGTTATATCATTGTTATTCCATGTACCTGATATTTTCTATGAAATTTTGATTGCGAAATCAGTGGGGATTGTTTTGTTTGTTTCAGGAGTTTTAAATGATAGTAATGAAAATGTTTACTATTTAGAATTTGAAGTAGATTTGGGTGCAGAGGCATTTCGATTTATTTAAATGACACTGAATTAAATGTTGCTTGCTATTTGCTTATTTACTTGCCATTTTCTTTCTACAGCAAGTTGATGTGGAAAAATGGGTATGTGTTTCCATGTATTTATCAGCAAGTTGTAATTTAAATGAGTGCATGTTTGCTGCTGCCTCATCTTTTTATATTGCTTCCTAATGTGGCTGGTACTATTAGTGTTCAAAATAACTGTGTGTATAGTGACCAAATACCTTGCTGATCCCTCATTGTTGTTGTTTGTTGTTAAGTGCCGTTGAGTCGGTTGCGACCCATAGTGACCCTGTATAGGGTTTTCAAGGAGACGCTGGTGAACTTGAACTGCCAACCTTGCAGTTCAAATGGCTTTGCAGTCTGATGCATTAACCCACAGTGCCACACCAGGATCCCTCATTAGATTCTTGTAAACTTTTAGTTTTGCCTTTCCTGAATTGGAGTACACTAAAATATTCTCTATTCTTGAATCATAAGGTTTCTATGTAATGGACTTTAATCATGTGCTTTTCGCCAATAATAAAGCATGTATTACTATTGCTATATATCTTTTGCTGGCAATGCATGTGTGGTTCCCTGCCAAGCAGGAGGCCTGGGTTCCTTTTCTGGTCCATACAGCCTGCTGTTGGTGTCCTGGTGTGACGCTGTAGGAAAAGCACTGGGCTGCTAAGTGCAATGTCGGTGGTTCAAACCCACAAGCTGCTCCTTGGAAACCCTATACCGAGTCACAGTGAGTCAGAACTGACTAGAAGGCTCATGATTGACAACAATAATATATCGTTTGCCAATAAACTTTGCTTGTTTAATTTTATAGTCGCCTATTTAGCCCTTAAGATTTTTCCTCTACAATAGAGAAAGGCAGATATATATGTATATGCATTCATACTGTCTTTAAAAGTAGAAGTGAATGACTACCCTGTGGAAAAAATTCATATGCAAGAATTTGGAGACCTTTCCAAAAATTGAGTCATGTGGCCAAATTGTATCACTACTTTTGGTCTTAGTTTTCTAATATGGCACACAACGAACAAAGAATTAAAGAAATGAGGGAGTCAGAGAGGGAAGAAGAAAAAAAAAGAAAACAAGAGAGCTAAGATTTCTTTCAATTCTTCTTTTATACCCACGATTCTGAATAGAGATGAGAAATCTGTTCAACAGTCCTGTCCCCATTTAATTTTCTTCCCAAGAATGCAGGAATAGTGAAGTTGTTCATTGTTGCATGATTTTCTTCTTATTTGCTTCAGTGACATTATGATAAACCATTTAAAACAGGCATAATCCATGGTTTCATTTTATCTTCCTTATTTTTCCTATTCTGGAATCTACTTTTTTGTGATGCAGTACTTTAAGAATTTTGCCTTCTTTTCAGTAGCCTTGATTAGTAGAATTTTTCAAACAATAATATGCTTACCTGGCCAAATGTAGTTTTTTTTTTGCTCTTTTTCACGTCTTTCAGCCTCTTATAATCAAAGAAACCTTTGAGGGGTTTGTTCTTTTTCTTTTTAATTTGCCATTTCTATGATGGTGACATCCATACTGATTTCTGCTAACTACCAAACCTGGAGTCATGGTGTGGCTCTGTGGGTTAATGTGCCAGACTGCAAAGCCATTTGAACTGCAAGGTTGGTGGTTCAAGCTTACCAGCTGCTCCTTGGAAACCCCACACGGGGGTCGCTATGGGTCAGAATCAGCTTGATGGCACTTAACAACAACAACAACTACACCTGTATTCCGGGTGCGTATTCAGTTCTTTGTCCTTCCTGTCATAACTCAGTGACTACTCATTTTGTTCAGCTCTTTCTTTTATCAGGTTCTTACTTTACTTTGTGATTAGAGTTATAATTCTAGTCCATGCCATGGAGTTTTCATATCTTGGAAATGGAAGCTTGTTTCTCTCTTAAGAACCTGTATGCCACCTCTTCATTTTTGTTTTGTCCCTTAGTATGTCGTTTTGAAACAGACTTGCAGATTTTCCTCATCACTGCATTCCTGATCTATTTTTGCAGCCTTTGTGTGCCATATCCAGATGAATCTTTCTTGAACTAACTTACCACTCAAGTCTCTTTCAATTTTTGTGAAAATTAAATATAAAGAATATATGAATTAAAAACAACCTTGTCATTTAAGCATGGGGCCATGGCGCTTTGAAGGTTAATGCACCAGACTGCAAAGCCGCTTGAACTGCAAGGTTGGTGGTTCAAGATCACAAGCAGCTCCTCAGAAACCCTATATAGGGTCGCTATGGGTTGGAACCAACTTGACGGCCCTTCACAACAACATAAATCCTGTACTACCATTTCTTTCTTAGGCATTTGATTGATTTTGATCTCACTCCTTAGGTGACTTTTCTTTCTCTTTTTTTGCATAATAACTTCTCATCTCAAAATTTATTTTTATTGTATTTATTTGTAAAATCTGAGAGGAGAGATTACTATTCAGTTCTGAGAAATGGGAAAATCATTCAGCTGAAAGTCATGAGGCTTAGCTTTACCATTGACTTTTGTTGTAGCTTCATGTGGTCTTATTTGTAAGCCATAGATGTAGGATTACCTCCTGGATGAGTTTTTTATTATTCTAAAGTATTTACTACTATATTAATGTTAAATCATACTGATACAGTAATATATGTTCATGTAGGTGTTAAAAGAGTCTACTGAATTTGTTATGCTAAGTGCTATAGACTCTGTTCTGACTCATAGTGACCCTGGATAAGGGTGTCCAAGGAGTGGCTAGTAGGTTTGAACCATTGACCTTATGATTAGCCATCCAGTGCCTCTCCTATAGCGCCACCCCAGGACTTGGAATTTGTCATAGAACACTGATAATCACTATATTTACGGCAGTGTGTTTTAGTATGTGTTACATTTGAACTGTTCAAATCTTATACCCTTCGCATTGTGATTAGTTGCCATTGATTCATGCCCTGAGTCATGGTGACCCCATGCACAATGGAACAGCACACTGCCCAGTCCTACACCATCCTCATGGTAGTTTGCAGATTGGACCATGTTATCCGAAATCTGGAGGATTTTCATTGACTGATTTTTGGAAATAGACCAATTGGGTCTTTCTTCCTAGTCTGGATGTCTGTTCTGGATGCTCTGCTGAGACGTATTAGAGATGTTGAAATCTTCTTGTAATAGGTACATTGAAAGGCAACAGGAAACCATTTATACACTAGCCTACCTACCTGTGGTTGTTAAGTGCCTTCAAGTCAGTTCCTACTCATAGCTAGTCTGTATAGGGTTTCAGAGGAGCAACTGGTGGTTTTAAACCAGCAACCTTGATGTTCACAGTCCAGTGTTTATCTTACAGTGCCACAGCAGGACTCCCCTACCTACCTTAATGCTCTTAAAACTGCTCATTGGGGCTAATTCTTCACAGTCCCTTGGGCTAAATCTAGGATGGGCCCCCTGGAGTTCAGTGGGAAGGAAGGTGAAGAAGAAAATTGGCAGTAAAGGTCTTTGATGAGATTATTAGTTGCCAGATGTTGAAAGCTGCCTTTCTCTTGTGGGTGCTTGTGAGGTTTGTTTTAGTGGACCTCCAATTACCAGAGTTCTCTGACCTGCAGCCAATCAGATCTCCTCCAGCTGGTCAGTAATCACTGTGTCCTTGGTGCCTGGATATCTTTGTGCTGAGATCTCTTGTCTCTTGCAAATGATCCTCGTAGAGGCCTCTAAGATGATCCCTGGATGGCACTGCATAGTGTAGTCCCTGCTTGCGGTCACTTCCAAGTGGTTCTCTGGTACCACAGACCACTCCAGTCAACCTTTTGGAGTGGTCTGTGCAATCTCTAGGCATCACACGATGGTCTACCCTCACTTGGCTTGAGGTAAGAACAAATGTGGGGAGGAGGTGGAGTCAGTGCCTGCTACCACCCACCTCTAAGAAACCATCTCTAAGCTCTTCTAATAGATTTGAGGTGGTGGCCAGCTATGAAAGTAAGCTAACTTTCATGCTCCCTCCTTTGACTTCCCTGTTTGGATCATTTAATAGAACTTAACAGCATTCGGTTCTGGGACAGGTCCATATTTTACCATTCTCCCATTCTTGGTTGCCTACACAGTATGTTTAATTGCCTCAGATTAAGACATTTTGGAGCTCTGGTAGTGTAGTGGTTACGAATTGGGCTGCTAATCTCACGATCAGCAGTTCGAAACTACCAGCTGTTCATGGGAGAAAGATGAGGTTTTCTGCTCCCATAAAGATTTACAGCCTTGGAAACTCTGTACAGGGAGTCAGAACCGACTCCACGGCACATAACAACAACAACATGAAACTATATGTGGAAATTAAAATAGTTTTTCTATAAATTTTCTGATTACATTTTTGGTAATGTAGGAAGGCTGAATCCGTTGATTGCTCTCTTTCTCTCCCTTTGTTCATCCCTCTGTCTGTCCCTTTAGCTTTCCACCAGGCTTGGAGCATCTGTGTACTTCCTTAATTATAAACTGATTGGTCTAAAGCTGACATTCACACATAGAACTAGAATAACTTGTCTGCTATCTAGATGAAAAAGTGATTATTTCCAGCAAGGAGGCCTGGGATGCAGGCCACAGTGTGGAGTGAGAAGAGAGAAGATTGTGAAATTGTTTTATATGAAGGATTTTCTGCAGGTCAAATGAGCTATTGCATACACATACTCATGCTTTTTCAAATATGTTGCTGCTGTTGTAATTGTTAAAATCCAAAAATAATTTAAAATGTCCTAAATCAGTAGTAGACTTCTGGTGTGGTGCTATAGGATTGGCTCTGGACTGTAAACCACAAGGTCAGCGGTTCAAACCCACCAGTTACTCCATGGGAACCCTATACAGGGTCACTATGAGTCAGAACTGACTTGACGGCACATAACAATGGCAACAAATTAATAGTAGTTTTTAAATTTCTGTCATGTGAGGGTCTGTGAAAGTCTTTCATGTTATTAAGTTTCATCTGTATTTGAAATTCTTTGCAAGATATGTTGAATCTTTACTGTCTTTTTATATGGACTATATTTTATATGAAAGCGAGATCAGAGTATAAGGCAGACACTCTGTATCTCCAGTCATTATTTTACAGGTGTCCTGTAATGATCAATT